AATGGTCGTTGGGCTAACTGCACTTAATACATTGCACCAACCTAAACAGAAAACTCATATTAATGATTTTGGCATTGACTGCTGCTTATGTTGAGAATTGGGCCCTCAATTTAAAGGTGAGAATTATCCAATGGAAATAAAGATCATCAAATAAGAAATGTGGTATTGCGTTACCTGTAAGGTCCATATAGGTGAAGACTAACAAATAATTTTGCAGAGATCATCACACAATTCCTAGGATTAAAACAATTAGTTGATATTCCAAACTGGGAAAAGGTCCTACAAACGTTGCAGGTTTGCAACTTGTCCCTTGATAATGGTTTTTATGATACCCCTTTTATGAAGCCCCCTTTAAGCCTTGTGAGTGGACATCTCAATGACATCAGTATTGATAAGCACAAAAATTCTGAAAACTGAACCATGGGTCTGTCAAGTAGTGGTGCACCGAAATGAAAAATCTGGTGCTGAAACTGAAAATTCAAAATGCACTTTTGAAAACCGAAGTTTTTAAAAATGAATATATATTTTTTGGAAAAAATACACTTTGATTAAAAAAAAAATATATACCCCAATTGTTTTGGAAAATATGTAAGAGGATGTTATGGCGAGTAATTAGATACCCAACATGTCTTGCTTTAAAATTGTGCATGTCGTGGAATGGCATGAAACTGCATTATTTAAAAATCTCCATGGGTGATGCTTTAAAATCTTCTACAGGTTAGCAGTGTAAAGTTACAGAGAAGGTCTAGTGCAACAATTATTGCTCCTGTTCCGATGTTCGTGGCGACACCTCATATGTGTGCTTTGAACACCATTTACATATGTGGGCATGGCCTACATATGCATTCACCACTACGTGCAAGCACAGGGGGGATGGGGTCACTTTAAACTTTTAAAAAAAAAACCTTTATTTAATGTTTTTTTTGAACGGTTCGTTTTAAAAAAAATTTTTAATCACTTTTATTCTTATCACAAGAAATGCATGCATCCCTTGTGATAGAAAGAATTAGTGACTGGCCCTCTTTATGTCCTCAAAGGACATAGAGATGTGTGGCGGCCAACTTTCCTTCTCTCCTTCTCTATGCCAAGATCGATGGTTTCTCAGGTACGACTGAACTACCGAGCGGTGGCCGGTGGTGGACAGGCGGCGGCGAGGGGTGGGTTTTTTTTTGGCACCTGTATCGGTGCTTTTATTTCATTTTGGCTGACAGCAGAAAAGGGTGTTTTTCGTCCGAAACGTTTTGGCCACTGAAATTTCGGTGCATCCCTACTGTCAAGGGATGGCTTTCACCAGATTTCAGATATACCCCAGCTGGAAAGGAATTATTTAGAGTCTACAGCACGACTTTAAATGAGGTTCTTCTGCAAATAGTTAAACCCTTGCCACCTATACACAGGTAGCCCTATTCAAGGGTTGACAGCTCTCAGCTCCTTATCTTCCACGGGAGGCTGTGTGAGGTCTGTACCAGGGGCGGACTGACCATTTGGAAACTCGGGCACTGCCTGAGGGCCCGGGGTCAGAAGGGGGCCCCATGAGATGCCCCTGGTACCTGTTTCATAGGCTTTTTTTGAGTTTGGGCAAGGACACGGGCCCCATGATCCCCTATTGCCCAGGGGCCCTATGAGTTGTCAGTCTGCCCCTGGTCTGTACCCCAACTTAATTTACCAGTGCTAGGATAAGAGCTGCCCTAGATCTCGACTTAGCCTGGTAAGCATCTATGGCAACACCTGCAATGGATTTCAAACAATGATTAGCCTGGTAAGCATCTATGGCAACAACGGTTAGGCTTCCAACAACCCTTGTTCTGCATTGTAAGTTAATGAGCTGAGGTCTAAAAATCTCTGTGTGAGTATTAATGGTTTTATAAAGAACATCATCTGGAATGAAAAGAAGAAAAGACATCAAGTGGGTTTCCGAAGATTAAGTGCAAAGAGATTAATAATCTACAAAATTTAAGGTACACCTGTTCTAAGGTGCAACAGGAGTAACAGAACAAACAGCCTTGTATAGGTACCCAAGAACACTTCCAGCATTTCTGGAAACCCCTAACAGCTGCTCCAGCCCTGCCAAAGATCCAGTGAAAACAAAGACTTTCTATAATTCAGCATTTGATCAGCTAGAAGTCCACTTGAAACATATGGATAAGCAAGAGATAGGACTTCTGTCAAATTTAAAAGGCATTTTCCATTGGAGAGATTTAACCTGACTTCATTGTGATTAACCCCAACGCCACTGGAAATGGCAGTTAGGACACTCAAAGGTTCTAACCCTTCCACACACTACTAAAATTGCAGTTACCTTGCCGTCTTTGTTACTGATGGAATCATATAGCAAAACACTAAGGGGTCTATGTATGAAAGATTTGTTGGACAACTGTCACAAACCCTCACAAATTCTGGCCATACCTTGCTTAACACATTTTGGATAAAGGAAGAAGCCAACAAAAGAGAAAATATATCAAGTGTATTGAACAAAATGTAAAGAGGACATAGTTGACCATATCCATGCAATATATCCAGGTATAATTCACACCTGTACTACAGAGAACATTCCTGTCTTTACATAGAAGGTCCCCGTTAAGAAGCTCGACACAATTTGAAAACACTTTCTTCTTCAGGAGTCAATGTGAATACGTATGATATCCAAGAACATGGGTCAATGCATTAAAAACAATGTCCAAACAAAATCAACATTCTTTTTAATGCATTGACCCACATTCTTGGATATCATATGTGTTCACATGGGCTCCTGAGGAAGAACGTGTTTTCAACCGCGTTGAGCTTCTTATGTGGACCTCCTTTGTAAAAACAGAAATGTTCTCTGTAGTAGAGGTGTGAATTATACCTGGGTTAATTTCATGGATATGTGCACTACCATTTGTATAATGGAAGTGCTGCCGCGGCCATGTTGACTGCTGATATTTATTAAATTATCCCTATACTTGGAATATCTATTATAGGAGTCTCCTTTGCTTTATGAGGAATATGGAGGATGGGCTCTTGAAGTGAAGGAAACCTTGGAAGTAATTCTTGTAACCAGGAATATCGAGCTAAGCTTACGAATACTACCAGAGGGTAATGGTATTTAATATCACTATTTGGAGTGGTCACGGAGTGCTCACTAAATGAATTGAAGTGGTTGCGGAGTGTTCGCCATATGTATTGAAGTGTTTTAACATAGGATTTGGTTCACATGTACTTTAGTTGATGATTTAATGGGCAGCACAGTGGCTAAATGGTTAGTACTTCCGCCTGGCAGTACTAGGGTCGTTGGCTCGAATCCCAGCCGCAGCACCACCTGCCTGGAGTGTGCATGTTCTCCCTGTGACTGCGTGGGTTTCCTCCGGGTACTCCGGTTTCCTCCAACACTCCAAACACATGCTGGTAGGTTAATTGGCTCCTGTCTAAATTGTCCCTAGTATGTGTATGTATGAATGTGAGTTAGGGACCTTAGATTGTACACCCCTTGAGGGTTTAATGACTGATGTGAATGTACAATATATATGTAAAGCGCTGCGTAAATTGACGGCGCTATATAAGTACATGAAATAAAATACCTGAAATAAATAAATGATTCTTATTTAATTTTTGGATAATATATATATATTTTTTATTTTTTTTCCTCTTTCTTTCGCATGATTCACAAGAAATCACAGTTGTAGTGGTTTTGATTTTGTGCACGTATTCATTCATTGCACTTTATACTGATATTTGTTATTTAGAAGATAATGCACTATAGGAGTATTCTTTTTTCGAGGTATCACGAGGATTGAAATAGGATTTGGAATCCTTCATACTGGACATATTTGGTTTTGGTGGACTTTCGATTTGGACTTTATTGGGACTATTGTTAATTTATTTATTTATGTATTATCTATTTTTGGAAATATTTGGTTAGGTGGTTAAGAAATACTCAGATTACTCACTTGGTTTTGGGGAGTTAGGTGTAAGAAAGGTTTATATCTTATCATTTGTACAATACGCTTAGCATTTTATGGTATATTTTCTCTTTTGTTGGCTTTGTTCACTATCTATACTACTACTGCCCTATAGTCTCTTTGTTCAAAAGGTTTTTTGTTGCTTAATCTGTTGATTGCCTATGATCATCGGCTCCACTTAGTGGCCATATTGTGGTTTTTATCAGATTAAGGCATTTCAGGAAAATGTGTATATTATGGCCACTAGTTGGAGCTGACGATTATAGGAAATTAATGTATTTAGGCAAATTCCTGAGGGCTAGGTGAATGCTTGTGAAATTAACCTAATAAATGCTTTATACATAGACCCCTAGGTGAGAGTAAGTCTACCAAAAAAGAAGACAGAGACAGAAATATAAGCCTTGCAGGGGTAAAACAAAACGTTTTGGGTAGACTTCTGCTTTATGCAAGGTATTCTTCCTGCCCCGTAAGCACCAACACCTGGTTTAGGCTATAGGCTGCTCAGATCATTGTGGTTGGACATTCTGGCTTATCCTATACCCCAAAGGCTGGTGTGTGTTTTGGGGGTTGGAGAACCATTTAGAAGGGGCTCAAGGAACGTTGGATGTGTGCCTGGGTGCCTTGTGAATCTTACTTTTCATAATCTTTGTAAATTTTACGAGGTCTCCTAAGTTGAGGTTCACTTTAAGAGTAGCAAGGATGCCACCATTATGGCTTTAGTGGTCATGACTATGGCTTCCATAAAATATCAAAAAAGGCATAATTGTTTCAATCACCAAAGTCCAGAGTGCATCGGTTAGAAAATGATCAGTACAGTAGTAAGACTTCGCTCTGGTGTGCGCTTTGAAATTGCCCGGAACGTGAAAAGTAATAAGTTACAAATGCCACTTGCTGTGGACAGCTTTGGTTGTGATTGCGACATTCCCAGCAGCAAAAAAATAAAAACAACAATATTACTGGGTGAGAGTACACCAAGTCTGCTGGCCAAAAGCTCCATTTTGGTATACAGAGTCCTCTTGGCTATTTCCACCGATGGCGCACTAGCGAAGACTCATCGTTGACCGCCTCGGGGAGATTGTCCCGTCTTTGGGGAATAAGCAGCAAGACCACCAGCACCAGCAGGATAATGCCGCAAAAAGTCATGAGCGCGTACGATATCATCCACATGACGGGCTCTCGGAACGGGTTGCTGGAGATGCAGTTACTGGACATGTCCGCGGTGCTGAATGGACCGGCGATCTCCGAGACCTTTACGCCATTCACATCTGCAAAAAAGAACAAGATTAAAAATGAGGCAATTTCCACTTAACCTCTTTGCGCCGGCCACACGCAAATGTACGGCCTCCTGGCCTTGACGCCAAGTGGCTGCACATTTGAGTGCAAATAAGAAAAACATATGTGCTGAGAGCGTGCTCCCATCACAAACTCACGGTACTCACAGAAAGGTCCCGATCTCCTTTTTCGATTGGGACCTTTCCCGATCATGTGACCACCGTGACAGCGAATCACAGCGGTCACAGGACCCTAAAAACCCCACCCTGCCTCCTGAAACCCTTAAAGGACCGGGAGGTGCCGGCGCCAAGGGGGTAAGATCCTATGCAAGAGGTTCTATAGGTTAGGGTCACACCCAGGGGCGGACTGACAACTCATGGGGCCCATGTCCTTGCCCAAACTCAAAACAGCCTATGAAAAAAGGTACCACGGGCATCTCATGGGGGCCCCCTACTGATCCCAGGCCCTCGGGCGGTGCCCGAGTTTTCAAATGGTCAGTCCGCCCCTGGTCACACCTATGCAGGTTGCAGTTTAATGCGTTTTTGAGATGTTTTAATAAAGCTATGGGGAGGTGTCTGTCATCATGCATAAAAACATACCACAAACGCATGCATTTTTATTTGTTTTTGCGTGTCCATTGAAGTCTACTGAACCAAAAACGCAACCTGCTGCAGGCAGAAAAAAAAATCCCTGACCCTTTCCAAAAAACCTACCAGTTGAGAATGCAGATGTGAACGTGACCCATAGGAAATCATGTAAAAGGGACTGTAGGGAGTTTCTGCAAATCCAACAACGCACTGCAAAATGCACAGGTGTTAACCAGGCCTAAGATTGTATAGAACAGCATTCAATGTACAAAAGAAAAGCGGGACTCAAAATGTATCTGAGCAACACAAACTGAAAACGATTTAATTAATTATAAATATTCAAAGCAAATTCTCCCATCCATCCATGTCTCCATACTATAATTGGTTGAGAAAGAACTTTGAAAAACACCCCCCTAGCATCAGTAGCCATGGCCATCTTGAGTAAGGGCAAATGTAGCATTTACTTCCTGGAATCTATCTGCCCTAAGCTTAGGCATGCAGGGAGGAGGGTGTGCTTAGCAAAGAAAGCCCCTCCTCCAGATAAAAGAAAAAAAATGTCCATGAAGACTCCTGCAACGTGACATCATTTTGGCCTAGGTAAGGATTCAGGAAGCAACTAAAGAAATGTAAAAAAAGAGAAAAAAGTTTACAACCTAAATCTAATATTCCTTCCGATCAATTTAGGAATGCTAGCAACATAAGGATTAAAAAAATAGTCAGTATTGATTGACAGGAGTTTTATTCTACTTTAACATGACTAAGGCTTGGTTTACACTGCTGTGACCCCAAATTCGTGTGACTTCGCATTGCGACTCTGGGACCAAATATGTCAAAAACTTTTCGTGCCGCTACTAGAAAAGATGGGACTATTGAGACAGCAGCAAACACCTGGCTATACCACTAGCAAAAAACAACAAAGAGAAAATTGATGTTGCGCTAATCACAATAATTCCACAGACATTCCAAGACAAATAATGAGATGAGAAGACAATAGATAATACACCATAACATAATCAGTAAATGGAAGGAATATGGGAGTGAAGGGAAAGGTGAAATAATAAAGGTCCAAAATGAGGACCAAAAAGGTTTAACAGACAATAAACCGTGACCATGGTGAAAAGGCACAGAAATGATCAGGGAAACATAAAATTATTAATTAAATCACAGTAAAAGTGGGACATAGGAGTCCGTCATAACATAAATTAAATAAATACAACTGATGAGAAAATGGAGCAAAATGTGAAAAATACAAAATTAAGTGCTTAAATATTAAAAGTGGACAAACCACTTATCACAGAAGAATGACAATAACAACGCACCATGAGACCAGAAATTGTGACCATGCGACTAAAGCAGGGCTTACAATTTCAAGTCCTCAGCTACTAGCCAGGCCTTAGAGTTACTCGTCACCAACAAACACAAACAGAGATACCTGTACACACACACACACACACACACACATGTACACACATACACAGAAACATGTACACACACACACACGTACATACATACATACACACACAGAAACATGTACACACACGCAGACATGTACATACACAGAGAAACGTACACACACGCAGGCATGTACATACACACACAGAAACATGTACACACGTAGACATGTACATACACACAAACATGTACACAAACGCACAGAGATACACGTACACACATACAGACACATGTATACACACACAGGCACGTACAGACATACATACACACAGATACATGCACATACACAGAAATACACACACACACAGACACATGTACATACATACACAGACATATGTACATACATACACAGACACACGTACATGCATACACACGTACATGTACATACACACACACATGTACAATTGTACATGCATACACACATGTACACCCCCCCCACCCCAGACACAAGTTGCAGTACTTCGTTGCTCACTCACAGATCCGGGTACTGCACTCTAGGGGGAGGCAGAGAGCACAGCACACACTCCTTGCTTTGCTTTCACTGCGCTCAGCTATTGAGCAGTCTGACAGCTCCTAGTGCCATTGACAGATCCGGCCTGAGCTCTGAGTCTGCTCAAGAAGTTGGCCCTGGGGGACACATTCGCCCCACCATAATTTCCACTCGCCATTGGCGAGCAGGCGAGTGGAAATTTCAAGCCCTGGACTAAAGGATCATAACATAGTATGCATCAAAAGGCCATGTGACATAAAACGACTAATAAGTGACCATATAAATACCATAAATAAATGTGGCAAACATATAAGTAGAGTGCAACTAGTATAAAATAGAAAATGGTGATACAAACGCACAGTGAAACCAAATGAATGTATTACTGTGCAACGTAAAATACAACACAATGAAGAAATAAATAAAATGTGACTAAAAAAATCATAAATGCGACAAAGTCCATGTGCAAAAACATCCCACAAAAACGCATCCAAAAAAAACCCAACGTGGATAGGTAAATGATTATTGAATCCCACACCGGCTAGAAAAGGATACAGCGGCGACCTTTCGTCTAACAATATTTGCATTGCAACTTGATGCGACTTCAATGCAACCTCCATGAAACTTTCGTGAGCCTTTGATGTTTTGCTACTGACCTAAAAAAAAAAAAAAAACCCTCTGAAATCTAAAGTTGATCCAGGGAATATCCGATTTCCTCTCGGGGGATCAGGAAGGAATTTTTTCCCCTGCAGGAGCAATTGGATCATGCTTTGCTGGGTTTTTTTGCCTTCCTCTGGATCAACTGTGGGTATAGGATTATAACTTTTTTTTTTTTTTTATTTTATTGGTTGAACTGGATGGACTTTTGTCTTTTTTCAGCCAAAATAATTATGTATGTCACATCCAGAGTTGCAAACATAAGAAAGACTTGCGAGTTTTGTGATTTTAACATTGCAGTCTATAGCAGTCATGTCGCACCAAAGATGCAAAAAATCTAGTGCAGGAACAATTTTTTTCTATCACTGCAACTTGAGTCAAAGCAATTAAGACAGCACCCATTGAAATGAATGTGTTTTTACTTGTCTTGCGACTTTGTGGGGCAGGTCGCAGCTAGTCACATAGTTACATATTTAGTCAGGCTGAAAAAAGACAAAAGTCCATCCAGTTCAACCATAGAAAAAAAAAAAAGTTATAATCCTACACCCACAGTTGATCCAGAGGAAGGCAAAAAAAAACCCCAGCAAAGCATGACCCAATTTGCTCCTGCAGGGGAAAAAAATTCCTTCCTGATCCCCAGAATCCCCAGAGAAGCAAAGCAATTCTCTGGATACTTTCTCGTATTTGGATCAACTTTACTCAAAATATAGATGTTAGTATCCAGTTATATTCTGTGTATCCAAGGGTTGATAGGGGTTTCCAGGACTTATTTAAAGCAATCCACTGAGCTGGCCAGAACCAAACTCTTGATTGGGGAGTCCCTATTCCACATTTTCACCAGCTCTTACTGTGAAGAAGTCCCTTTCCGTGTAGACAGGGGGGAGATTAAATCTCTTTTCCTCCAGATGTAAAGAGGTGCCCCCTTGTCCTGATGCTCGTGATGACCTCAGGGTGTAAAAGCTCTAGGCCACTGAGTTCACTATATGAACCACTATGGCAGATGTATTATACATGGAGATCAAGACGATCCCCCCCTTATGTATTTACATGGAGATCATATCCCCCCTTATGTATTATACATGGAGATCATATCCCCCCCTTATGTATTATACATGGTGATCATATCCCCCCTTTGTATTATACATTGCGATGTCATATGCCCCCCCCTTATGTATTATACATGGAGATCATATCCCCCCTTATGTATTATACATGGTGATCATAGCCGCCCCTTATGTATTATACATGGTGATCATATCCCCCCTTATGTATTATACATGGAGATCATATCCCCCCCCTTATGTATTATACATGGAGATCATATCCCCCCTTATGTATTATACATGGTGATCATATCCCCCCTTATGTATTATACATGGAGATCATATCCCCCCCTTATGTATTATACATGGAGATCATATCCCCCCTCTTATGTATTATACATGGAGATCATATCCCCCCCTTATGTATTATACATGGTGATCATATCCCCCCTTATGTATTATACATGGAGATCATATCCCCCCTTATGTATTATACATGGAGATCATATCCCCCCTTATGTATTATACATGGTGATCATATCCCCCTTATGTATTATACATTGGCGATCATATCCCCCCTTATGTATTATACATGGAGATCATATCCCCCCTTATGTATTATACATGGTGATCATATCGCCCCTTATGTATTATACATGGTGATCATATCCCCCCTTATGTATTATACATGGAGATCATATCCCCCCCCTTATGTATTATACATGGAGATCATATCCCCCCTTATGTATTATACATGGAGATCATATCCCCCTTATGTATTATACATGGTGATCATATCCCCCCTTATGTATTATACATGGAGATCATATCCCCCCCTTATGTATTATACATGGAGATCATATCCCCCCCTTATGTATTATACATGGAGATCATATCCCCCTTATGTATTATACATGGAGATCATATCCCCCCTTATGTATTATACATGGAGATCATATCCCCCTTATGTATTATACATGGAGATCATATCCCCCCTTATGTATTATACATGGTGATCATATCCCCCCTTATGTATTATACATGGTGATCATATCCACCCTTATGTATTATACATGGTGATCATATCCCCCTTATGTATTATACATGGAGATCACATCCCCCCTTATGTATTATACATGGAGATCATACCCCCCTTATGTATTATACATGGAGATCATATCCCCCTTATGTATTATACATGGAGATCATATCCCCCCCCCCCCCCCTTATGTATTATACATGAAGATCATATCCCCCCTTATGTATTATACATGGAGATCATATCCCCCCTTATGTATTATACATGGAGATCATATCCCCCCCCCCCTTATGTATTATACATGGAAGATCATATCCCCCCTTATGTATTATACATGGAGATCATATCCCCCCTTATGTATTATACATGGAGATCATATCCCCCCCCCCCTTATGTATTATACATGTTGATCATATCCCCCCTTAATCTCCTCTTCTCAAGAGAGAATAAATTCAGTTCCTCTAATCTTTCCTCATAGCTGATCGCACCAGAAGTTGCAGCAGTGTGAACCAGGGCTGAGGGCCCGTTCATACTATAATCCAGTGCGGGAAACTGGAGTTCTGTGCTGGTTTCTGGCACTGCATTCAAATCGTGCTTCCCTTGCTATCTGCAGCAGGTGTCAGTGCCAAGTTATTGACACCCGAAACGCAGGTCGCAAACGCAGTGTATTTGCCCACACCGAATTGCATGGTACAAAAGTATCATGTGATTTGGTTGCAGTGCGTTTCCAAAAGTAATTCATGCACCATTTTTGGTGCGGTGTGATTTCAGCTCAATGATTGGGCTGAAATGACACTGCACAAACTATTTGGTGAAGTTTCTATGCATTTCCAAGTGAAGAGCAGCTGCAGTGCGATTCTGCAGAGATTTTGTGATTTCGGTTCTGGTTAGTTTGGTAACATGGGTGTATCTCGCACTGAAATTGCATTGCATTACATTCAAACACCTATGCGTTTATACTGCTAAGTCCATTCAAGTCTACGGGGCTGAAAAACGCCCCACACTGCGCCAAACATGTACAGGACCCTTTTAGAAAACGCATTGCTTTGGAACGCATATTAGTGAATGACCCCATAGAAAGCCATGTTATCTCCCTTGACATGCGTATCAGTGCATTCTGAAACGCATCCAAAATCGCATCGTGTGAATCTCACAGGAACTGCAGCGCGAGTCACATCAGTCCCTAGTGTGAATCTGCACTTACGCTGGCCATACATTATACACATTTCTTGAGAATTTTGCTTTAGATTTACCAAAAACCATATAATATGAGGTCAAACCTAAACAACACTTTCAATTGTGTCCAATCAGGCAGGCCCTTGCACTACATAGTTGAAGGAAATTGGGCAGAAATTGGACAGAAAATTGTATACAGTGTATGGACAGCCTTAGAGCTGTTGCAACAGATTTTACTTCTGCCCCCTGCTGGTGGAATCTGAGAATGCAGCACAACCATGCAGATTTCACAAGAGCAGTGCACAGATTCACTAATACCCGGAAATCATGAAGAACCTTCCAGACTTCCTCATATATAGAATACACATTAGTGGGTGCCAGCAGGTTCCAGGGGAATGGAGGAGTCGATTTTCACTCCATAAGGGCGGAGGACGTCACCGGCTGGTATTTAATAATCCAGAATTTATACCGCCCCAGGCACAATCTTCTGTTTCATTTGGTTGAACATTCTGTTTGCCTGTCTAATTGCCCCAAACCCGCGTATAGGTGCAGCTATCCATTGAGTCATCAACACTTCAAATGAAATCCAATAAGTCTTACTTAACTTGTTGGCAAAGTTTCCTCCTCCAGAATAAAAATCCGATGTAATGAGGTTTTTGTAATACGAGATTTGGCTGCTACAAGGACACATTATGGAGCATTTTGAAAAAACACAGCGCCAATATAAACAGACACCTCGCCAGCAGGTAAACAGAACGATTAAAGATTTCCATTTCTGCTCTGCTGGGAGGACCTGGGAAACACTCCGCTCATATATCCGAATACTACAGAGTAAAGTCGTTTTTTTTAAAGACGGTCATCCGTGTAAAAAAAAAAAACAGCAAGTAAAAGCAAAAAAAAATCAAATAATATACCATATCAAAATCATATAAATGTTTAAAGTGTTATTAAACCCCGGGGCCCTGCATTCACTATATCTGGTTTCCCCGGATCACTGCATTCATTCTATATCCGGTTTCCCCGGACCCCTGCATTCTATACTATATCTATCCGGTCTCCCCGGACCCTGCATTCACTATATCTGGTCTCCCCGGACCCTGCATTCACTATATCCGGTCTCCCCGGACCCTGCATTCACTATAATCCGGTCTCCCCGGACCCCGCATTCACTATATCCGGTCTCCCCGGACCCTGCATTCACTATAACTGGTCTCCCCGGACCCTGCATTCACTATAATCCGGTCTCCCCGGACCCCGCATTCACTATATCCGGTCTCCCTGCATTCACTATATCTGGTCTCCCCGGACCCTGCATTCACTATATCCGGTCTCCCCGGACCCTGCATTCACTATATCCGGTCTCCCTGGACCCTGCATTCACTATATCTGGTCTCCCCGGACCCTGCATTCACTATATCCGGTCTCCCCGGACCCTGCATTCACTATATTTGGTCTCCCCAGACCCTGCATTCACTATATTTGGTCTCCCCAGACCCTGCATTCACTATATCCGGTCTCCCACAGTACACACAACATGAAAATGTAATTATTTTAGTAAATTTAAACTGCTAAATACCTTTTCTCATCAGCAGTATATAGCCGTCTTGCGACTTCTAGCAGTGTTCAGCAGAACACTGGTTAAAGCTTGTAGGAGGAGTTTTCATTCTGCTCTAGGAGGACGCAGAACCCCTGACGTCGGTCTGGACAGTCATGATTGGCTCTGGGCTGATCACTTGCACTCTCCCAAGGAAAAAAAAAAAAAAAAAAAACCTCTCTAGCAATACACACCAAACTGTGCATGTCTCCACACCGTATGTCTTATCAGAAGATAAGAGGGGGACACTGGATGAAGGGGAGGATCAGAGAAGTCTGAATCAAACCGCATTTTTACACAATGCAGAGAATTAAACTCTTAGATTCTACAGTGAGTATAACAAGCATGCTTTACTGCATATGCAGACTGATTGCACTGTTGTGGTTTTAGTAACACTTTAACAGCTTCGCTGCCACTCTGTAGCAGAAATACTGCTACAGGGCGGCAGGGCTGTGCAAAATCACGTATATATACACAAGATTTGCATTTCCAGGTAGGAGGTGTGCGTGCGCTGCCCTACCCACACAGCCATTGGCGGCTACAGATGTCGATCACCGAGTCCTGGCCAGAGATTCCCCGCCGGCACCCGGCGATCATTGAGTAACACTGACAGAGGAGAGATCTGCGTGTAAACAACACAGGTCTCTCTCCTGCCAGCAGTAACATGCTTCCCAAGTTAAAACACACACAGCACCAGGGGCGAACTGACCATATGGAAACTCGGGCACTGCCCGAGGGCTCAGGGTCAGTAGGGGGCCCCATGAGATGCCCCTGGTACCTTTTTCATAGGCTTTTTTGAGTTTGGGCAAGGACACAGGGGCCCCATGATCCCCTATTGCCTAGGGGCCCCATGAGTTGTCAGTCTGCCCCTGTACAGCACATTATGTTAAAGAGCACTTCCTGCCCAGTGTCCATAGTACATAGTTTTTATTAGCACTGATCTCTGTATTAGTGTCATTGGGATGTCAGTGGCAGTTAGTCAGTTCCCCCCCAGTGTCAGAATGCCCGCCGCAGTCCCGCTATAAGTCCCTGATCGCCGCCATTACTAGTATTAAAAAATAAAAATTTGAGTATACCGCCATTTGTAAACGCTATAACTTACACATAAACCAATTAAGTTACACATATTGGGATTTTTTTTTTTTTTAGCAAAGACATGGAGCAGAATACATTTTGGCGTAAATTTCTGCCGAAATTTGATTTAAAAAATTTTTTTTTTTACATATTTTATAGCAAAAATTAAAAAAAATTGTGTTTTTTTTTTTTTTTAAATTGTCAGTCTTTTGTTTATAGCACAAAAAAAAAAAAAAAAAACCGCAGAGGTGATCAAATACCAGCAAAAAAAAGCTCTATTTGTGGGGGAAAAAAAAGACAAAATTTTATTTGGGTGCAGCGTTGCATGACTGCGCAATTGTCAGTTAAAATAACGCAGCGTTTTCTGGAATGGGGGTAAATCATCTGGAGGGTAAGTGGTTAAGATAAACATTTTTCAAGCTTCATAATACAAAAAAAAAAAAAAAAACACAAAAAATGCACGAAAAGCATGTAAATGCATAAGCAAAGCTACCACCTGGAACACAGAAGTTGTGGAGTGATCCAACCCTAAAGGAAGTATGCAAGCAATGCAGAGAGCCATATGTTGTTGTGTTTGATATTCTCTGACAGTTAATAAAAAAAGTTTTATTTAAATGAAAAAAAAAAAAAAAAAAAAGTTTCAGTGATAACAGTTCAGTTTTTGGAAAGTGGAGCAGAACTGACATTACACTGTGTTTTTATTTCTGTCTGTGACCCATCGGCAGGATTTTCTCTCATTTCATATCAGGAACTCTTGGTTCAGCTTCACCCACCTGCACAGCTGCTGACCGCAAAAAACCGACCCGCTTCTGTGCTCTGTCGAAAATGACGTAGAAACCTTCCATGACGGTGGCCCCGATAACCAGCGCGTTGGAGGAGGGCGAGATGCCGAAGCGGTAACAATGCATGTCCGTACGGAAGGTCATCACGGACTGGATATACAACTATGGAAAATAAGAACATCATTACAACAGTGCATGTGTACAGAAATATACAGACAGGATATTACAGAAAAACAGCATATGCGCTTTGTTTTACTATTTCTCACGAATATACAGGGGTTGGACAAAAATATGGAAACACTACCTGATTTGCAGGTGTGACAGGCTTGGCATTGAAAGTGGAAGTGTTATAACATTCTTTTGCTTCCACTGTGTGATGAGACACCTAGCTAAAAGGTGGGAAGCCTCACTTTCATCATTCACTGCATGCGCTGCTAGTAATACGGAGTCATGTCAGAGCTTACTGAACTTCTAAGAGGGCAAATTGTTGGTGCCACTTAGGTCAACGTGGTCAAATGACCGAAAGAGACAAAAAGGACATTGCGCAGGATTGTGACTCTGAGTAACAAAAAAAACAGATGCAAAAGTGTGCTATTGTATTCTGACAGCAGGACGCCTCCGCTCAGCAAGACGCCGCCCGCTCAGCAAGGACGCAGCAGGACGCCTCCGCTCAGCCAGCAGACGCCTCCGCTCAGCCAGCAGGACGCCTCCGCTCAGCCAGCAGGACGCCTCCGCTCAGCCAGCAGGACGCCTCCGCTCAGCCAGCAGGACGCCTCCGCTCAGCCAGCAGGACGCCTCCGCTCGCCAGCAGGACGCCTCCGCTCAGCCAGCAGGACGCCGCCGCTCAGCCAGCAGGACGCCGCCGCTCAGCCAGCAGGACGCCGCAGGACGCCGCCGCTCAGCCAGCAGGACGCCTGCACAGCCAGCAGGACGCCTCCGCTCAGCCAGCAGGACGCCTCCAGCAGGAGCCAGCAGGACGCCTCCGCTCAGCCAGCAGGACGCCTCCGCTCAGCCAGCAGGACGCCTCCGCTCAGCCAGCAGGACGCCTCCGCTCAGCCAGCAGGACGCCTCCGCTCAGCCAGCAGGACGCCTCCGCTCAGCCAGCAGGACGCCGCCGCTCAGCCAGCAGGACGCCGCCGCTCAGCCAGCAGGACGCCGCCGCTCAGCCAGCAGGACGCCTCCGCTCAGCCAGCAGGACGCCTCCGCTCAGCCAGCAGGACGCCTCCGCTCAGCCAGCAGGACGCCTCCGCTCAGCCAGCAGGAGCCAGCAGGACGCCTCCGCTCAGCCAGCAGGACGCCTCCGCTCAGCCAGCAGGACGCCTCCGCTCAGCCAGCAGGACGCCTCCGCTCAGCCAGCAGGACGCCTCCGCTCAGCCAGCAGGACGCCTCCGCTCAGCCAGCAGGACGCCTCCGCTCAGCCAGCAGGACGCCTCCGCTCAGCCAGCAGGACGCCTCCGCTCAGCCAGCAGGACGCCTCCGCTCAGCCAGCAGGACGCCTCCGCTCAGCCAGCAGGACGCCTCCGCTCAGCAGGACGCCTCCGCTCAGCAGGACGCCTCCGCTCAGCAGGACGCCTCCACTGTCAGTGTACACTGATCAGGGGCTGCACCCAGGTGGCTGCAGCTGCTGATCGATACAAGATTTGCAACATTCCCATTCAAGTGTATCATGAGAACAACTTCTGACAAGCGGGAATGGCCATAGATGGATTGAAATCTTTTTGGCAGTGCATTGCACTGTTACATTGCATGTTTGGTGAAAGGTGCGTTTGGAGTCCGATCAGAAATCATGGCTCCACATAGCATAGTACCAATGCACTGAACAAGAGCTGAAGTAAAACAAACCATCAATGGCCAGCTCCATACTTCTAGAATAGCAGGTCAAACAAAAATTCAAATGAATCTAAACACATGAACCAAAATGCAATATATTGCAACTTATCAGTCCTTTGATGTTTTTCTGTATTTGCAGAAAAGAAAAACTAGCCACATCTGTTGAAAATCCAGTGTCCTTGCATCTTCATGTGCCCAGAACCGATCTCTAAAACAACATTATCATCCTTCTTAAATACCTTCTACAAACTACAAAGCACCTCCTCTCCATGCAATGCAGGTGAGATAGGGGGAGGTGTTCTGTAGCCCTAACCTAAGTCAACTACACAGCTCCTCTATAAATACAGTACAGGGAGTTAGCACTGACACTCTAGGACAGGAAGCACGTTTCTGGCAGAATCACCAGGTGAAAGGACGAAAAGCATGACAAAAAGAAAACTAATGCAACCATCACATCTAAGGGCCAGTAAGGTGCCATATATAAAATTTTTGTTTTTTGGGGTTTGGATATACTATTTTTTGGGAAATGAGAATGAACTGAATGTGTTCTCTATGCAGCGTTAGATCTGCTATTTTGAGAAGTGTTTGTTTCTAACTGTCTGCAGGTTTGGACAGGCTGAACCTATTTCGCAACATGGAAAATAAACCATTCTTGCTTTGTGTAGAGCTGTCAGCAAATCACAGGCCGAAACGACAGTTTACTTCTCCGAGTGCAAACACTGGTGCTTTATGGACATAAATCCGGCTCACCCAGAACCTGGCCTGATGTAGAACATGTGTTGGCTGCCTTATCAATTGCTGGGAACCATATGAATCAAAGAGCACAAATAGCAGATCATTTTAAAGCATTCCCTAGGAGACATCCATTATGGATGGATCCAGATATAGACAGCCACAGATCTATAAACATATCATTTATGAGTACTTCTATAGGTTAAAGCCATACTTCTAAATATTTACATCTAGAGAGAGAAGGAATAAATGAAAAACTACCACACAGAGCCCTTATGCCCATTGGTGGTTTTAAAGTTGTCAGAGGTGGGATGGATGTTCTGCTAGAACCACAGTTGGGCTGAACCATGTAAGAGCACATATGTGACCCACCACTACCATGGCTGAACCATGTGAAAGTAACTATGTGAGCCACCATCATCGTGGCTGAGTCATGTGAGAGCACATATGTTACCCACTATCACCATATCTGAACCATGCAAGAGCACCTATGTGACCCACCATCACCATGGCTGAAACATGTGTGAGCAACTATGTGACCTACCACTACAATGGCTGAACCATGCAAGAGCACCTATGTGAGCCACCACCACCATTGCTGAACCATGTGAGAGCAACTATGTGAACCACCACCACCATAGCTGAACCATGTGAGAGCAACTATGTGAACCACCACTACCATGGCTCACCCATGTGAGAGCAATTATGTGACCCACCACTATCATGGCTGAACCATATGAGAGCACCTAGAAACAGAATAAATACGAGTGCTGGATAAACAACCAGAGAGCGACTAGCATGAAAGGCAAATACCAGGAGCCTCAAAAGAATTATATATCAAACAGCCATGCAGCGCTAATACGTACAAAGATGCATGCAAATAGTCATTTGGTGCATTTAATAGCTAGTAAAGTGAACACCACTTAGTACTAAAAAAAGATCTTGGAAATTATCTAAAGTCCAGGAATAATAATGATGGTGAATATAAATCTTTCAACAAGAGTGTTCTTGCGGTGCATAATATATAGAATTTCAGGACAACAAGGTGACACAATAAGTGACTTCTGTGACCATATTCCTCCCACAGAAATGAGTGTAGATTGCACTAACCAGAGAGCGCAATCTTAATGCGCATTTGAGTGTTAACCAGCTCCTGGTCATCTGGCTACTGCAAACTGGAACTGGATCACAGAGTGGTCATCTGGCCTGCATCAGCTGGGCAAACATCACAACCTCAGGGACACCAGATATCAGAGGGTGTGTAGTCGTCTCACCACCGGGGGGAGTCTAACCAATCCTGATGTGGCCACCAGATCATCCCAATAAGCCTTGAAGGAGGGGGGGCTCGGAAGTAACGAGCCAAGACAATATAGAAGATTCTGATAGTGCAGTACTTTATTATCCACAGCAGAAAAATATACAAATAGCTGAAAATCTTACTCACATGTGTAGTGAGCAGCTTGTAGCAGGGAATTCCAAAATGGCCACCGGCCGTCCACAGGGGCCATGCAGTGTGACGTCACAGGGTATAAGGCACCTCCCTAACGCATTTCGTGCGATGGCACGTTATCAAAGGGGATAATTTCCAAGATCTTTTTTTAGTACTAAGTGGTGTTCACTTTACTAGCTATTAAATGCACCAAATGACTATTTGCATGCATCTTTGTACGTATTAGCGCTGCATGGCTGTTTGATATATATGAGAGCACCTATGTGACCCACCATCACCATGGCTGAACCATGTAAGAGCACCTATGTGACCCACTATCACCATGGTGAACCACGAAAGAGCACCTATGTGACCCACCACCACCATAGCTGAACCTTTTCACAGTACCTATGTGACCCACCATAACGATGGCTTAACCATGTGAGCATAACTTTGTGACCCACCATCACCATGGCTGAACCATGTAAGAGCACCTATGTGACCCGCCACCACCATAGCTGAACCTTTTTTCAGTACCTACAGTATGTGACCCACCATTGCTGAACCTTTTGACAGTACCTATGTGACCCACCATCACCATGGCTGAACAATGTGAGCGGAACTTTGTGACCCACCATCACCATGGTTGAACCATATGAGAGCACCTATGTGACCCACCATCACCATGGCTGAACCATATGAGAGCACCTATGTGACCCACCATCACCATGGCTGAACCACAAAAGAGCACCTATGTGACCCATCACCATAGCTGAACCTTTTGACAGTATCTATGTGACCCACCATCACCATGGCTGAACCACAAAAGAGCACCTATGTGACCCACCACCATAGCTGAACCTTTTGACAGTATCTATGTGATCCACCATCACCATGGCTGAACCATGTGAGAGCAACTATGTGACCCACCACGAACAATTAAAATAAAATGGGCCAGTCTGCCAAACCTGCATCCCCTTGTCACAAATTAGGCCTACTTATGGCCATCTCCCATCTGTACATTAAGCGGCAAATATTGACATGACAAAAGCAATAAATGGAAAGACAAC